CGGTTGTACTGATACTACACTCTGCACTTCTTGTGCAGATTTCGAAGTTGGTCCCAGCGGCGTGCCATAGACTTGCTTGGATTTCAGGTACTCGGAGGAGACTTGAGGTATAACTGCATGGCGTCCGCAGTTCTGAAGTCCCCGTCTATTTTACTTTAATTGTGTGTTTATTTCCAGACAACTTTATTTTTTTCAGACCTTTATTTGTATTATTCTAGAAGTTCGTGCACTTGTGACACCAATTCTGGGATGGTATTTAGACACCGTTGTTTTTATGGATTATTCACTACATTTCATAATTACTTCCGCATTTGTTCTTTGATTATTAATAAATTTAAAAATTATTTTAAAAATAGATAATATTATTCTAACGTTGGCTTGCCTAGCAAGTGAAATGTTAGGCGTCATCACGGTCCGAAGGTGGGAGTTTCGGGTCATGACATGAAGTTTGCGTGATTGTCTTTGCAAGTCAGGCCAAACTTTAAGCAAAAATATCTGAAGTTTTGCTTTGATAAGGCTACACTTCAGGCAAAATATTTTGAAGTTCAAACTTCAGACATAAATTTTTGCTATTTCAGGCTCGTATGTCTAAAGTTACCCGAAAAGTGGGTACGCTTGCAATTCTTTTTTGTAAAGCAGGTATAGGTTAAAAAGTGGCCCAAAAACCGGGTTTAGACTAAATCTGCGTCCATTTTAAATTGATCTTACAATTTTTGGATAGTGCGATATAGCAAGGGAGAGAATTCAAAGGAAAAAAGGAAATAAAATAGGGAAGAGAGTCAGAGAGGTGCCCTCTACATATTGGATGCCTCGAAATTGGTATAGCGAGTTTTGAACTTTGACAAACAGTTCCCTTTTTTTATATTATTCATGATTACCTTATGAAAATTCTTTTATCATTTCTCTCAAAGCCAGCATAATTATGAGTTTGACATTAGAACTGAAATGCTACCAACAACGGAAGTCTGCAAGAAGTAGCTCCATTCAAGCTTTCTAAAACAAGAAATGGAAGGACAAAAATATAAGAAGCAATGCCACGTTAAATTAATCATACTAAGATCCTCCAAAGAGTTACCTTTACATACATAGATCATTACTTATTAGCAAGGTCTAGGAAAGATGCAGAAATGTAGAAGAGAACTCTACTGGATTAGGACCTTTGCCACCATTATGTACATTTGACTCAACCTGAATGCTCAGTTTGACAGTCACTGAGAAGCTATATGTCTTGTTTAGGCTTCCGACTTACCTCGGAATACTGACCACCCATCAACTGCAATATCTCTCCCCACAAACTCTCTGATGATGAAGTTTGTGAACCTGCAAAAATTAGATTTGAACTGCATGAGGCAACGTACCAATAACCGGATTCAATCTCTTCCCTCAACTGGTCAAGCTGCCACCCCGCATAGCCAACGAAGAATCTGAAATCTTGTGGCTTAAGCACCCCTTTGTTTACCAATGCAGATGCTTCTTCCAAACTGTTTCGAGCACCAAAACACACACCAGGAATGACCTCTTCGAACCTAGGTAGCTCTGAACTAGCGCCTGATCTTAAAAGAAACATACTTGCTTCAAGGGGCCCGCCAAAGTGCAAGGAACAATCAGCAAAGGTCGTTGCCAGGTCGAGATTAGTGGGTTTCATGTGCTTGATCTTTTTGCCTAGTGGGCGGTTTATGACTACACCAAATGGACCCTCTTGTGGGTGCCTGGTTCCAGATCTGAGGAGGAGAACGACCGTTCTTTCAAAAGTACGAACTCCGTCGAGTTTTTCAGTGGCAACAAGAACACAGCCATTCTCAGGTGCTGAAATCGGATGTGCCCACTTCAAGGGAAGAGCTTTGGGACCAAAACTTGTGCCCTCTTGCTTGTGAGTGTCAGAGACTGCAGTTGCCGCCTGCTGTAAGAGTTTTAGAAGAAACCCTATTCGTTTAATGCAAGTTTTAGCAAATATGAATAANCGCACTCATAGCAGAATGATACCGCGCAAGTCCTAGGAAAAATAGGAACTAAGAAGTATATGTCGTAGAGCGGATCTGTAACTCTTCCGACATGTTTTCGTGGAACATGTCACAGACAGGAACTGTGGTCATCAGGTGTGCAGTCTTTGCAGAATGTTATTCCATTTGTAATGACAGAACAAAATCTTAGAACTTGGAAGTATCCTAGAGAAATCTATAAGGCTTCAATCCAAACAGGAGTTCATGGTGAATCATATGAATGACACATTAAGAAATGTTTATCAACATTGGAATATTATCATGCTAAAGGGCAGTGAGGCGCCTTGTTAGTCTACAAGATGATTCAGACTTGCAAAGGTGGTCCATAAATCATACCTGCTCCTGAATGTAGAGAGATGCTCGAAATTCCCTCCAGTCCAAGGGCTTCTGATGAGATTTTGGTGCACCAGTATTTTTTGAGCTATCGTTTCCAGAAGAGGGGTTGCTCCCTTTTAGGCTATCTTCTTCTGGGCCCTTCCCTTCAGTATAAGAGCGTCCACATTAGAGAGAGGCACAAGTTATGCTTAATCAAGATGTTACAAAATGTGAAATAATCATAAACATTATGAGAAGTATCAATTAGGAAAGGACTTTACAACCTAATAAACCAGTAGAGTAAGATAAGGAAGAAATACATGTGTTTCCTTGACATGTATACACTTGTTTAAACCGTAAAGCTGTTATTGTTTCTATTGCGCTGATCAAGTTTGCCATGAATCGTTATGACAGAATTACTATGACAAACCAAAGTTAATCATAAAAAAGGATGCTACTAAGTTGTAGGATAAGAAATATTTCCGGGTCCTAAAAGAGATTTTGTGAATCCATCAATTTTTGTACATTAAGCTAGTCAACGTCACATCACAAAAACAACTTGATAATAGACACAGATCTGGAAAACACTGAGTCATTTATCTATTGTCCCAGCAAATCTTTTCACCTCTCAGGCTTATCATATTAGATCCCATTAAAGAAAATAGCTACCACTACGGTGGCACTTTCCAAGATGAACGCCTAACACCAATAAGACACCGTTGTATATGTACTAGTCTAGAACCCAAGCCAGCAGCCTTGCTCTGGGCCTCTGATAACCAGCTTGTAACTTTTACGCCCTTCTCTAGGGAGAGCAAGCTTACGCGATGACTCTTTACTTTTCAGATATTGCAAAAAGTTTTGTGGCTTAGAGGTTATTTGCATAGGTTCCCCAATATCAGCAACCTCCCTAAGGCACATCTTAACCTTTCCTTGCATGGGATCTGTTCTTCTCAAAGCTAATCATCATAGACTTTACTTTATCTACCTATTCATTGGCTAACAAAACATCCAGTTATTCGTCAGACTACAGAAGTTAGATCGTTTAGCCCTCCACGCTCCAATCTAGAAGTCTTTCAATTACGTCAAGTGAGCCAACTCTTAGCTAGGCCTTTTATAAATCTAATAGCAACAACAGAGAAAATACGCCGCAATCCAAAGCTAGTTAAGGTTGGCTTTATGAGAAGATAGCCAACTCTTCCTTCAGGTAGGCCTTTTATAAATCTAATAGCAACATCAGCTAGGCCTTTTATAAATCTAATAGCAACAATAGGAAAACTACGCCACAATCCAAATCCAAATCCAACGACACAAGACAGATTTTGAAGATATTTTTAATCATTTCTGGTATCTGCTGTGTGATGCCTAATACAGTTAAGGAGCTGTTACCAAGCAAGGAAGAAAAATTAACAAAAATTAGGGTAGCGTTCCAGCTATCATTTTATGGTTTATTTGGTGGGAAAGAAACAAGAGACGTTTTGTTTTGAAGGGAAAGTATGAACAGAATTAGATACAAATGCCTGTATTGTTTTGCTCTTCGGTGTTAAATACTGAATGTATATGACATAGACACCCTATTAGATTTCCTTAGCTCCCTTCATTTATAAGGGGTGCTGAGTTTTCCTAAACTGTACATATGCTGCATTTCCTTGGTGCAGTTTCTGATAGATAACATTACCTTCTTACTGATGAAAAAAGTAGACTTTTTGTTCAAACTAAGATCTACAACATCCCTCTTAATTTACCACGACGTCCAAAATTTAAAGAGAATAGAACAGTTTTTTTTGTACTTTTTCAACTTTTTGATGAGAAAGAGTCTTGTTAAAGTTGCTGGTATCTGTCTCTTCTCTTCTATGATAAAAGCAGTCTCAGTTTTCTCCAGCCCCAGGTACAAGCTAGCTGGCTCAAAAATTTCTTATGTTATGTCCCTATAGACATTATCCCTTTTCCAGAGTAAAACTAAGAAACACTTCCTCCATGTTCCTTTTCACAACTTTTCTAAGGAAGAGTTGAAAGAAAAAGGTAAATCACGATCTTCACATCAAATTATTAGCAACTGATAAAACTTGATGAAAAAGGAAAAACTTTTTAAAATATTTTAATATAACCTGATGAAAAAAGAGACGACTTCTTTTAATTTATAATAAAACTTGATGAAAAAAGAAAAACTTTTTTTAATTTTTTAATCTTTCTTGTTATTGTTATGCCAGTGGCGTTCGGGACAGCTTGCATGCATCTCGACTATTCAACATCCCACCTCCCACCTCCCGCTAGCACACGTACGTGGTAACTCTGCCCCCAAGGTTTAGGCAGATGCATAAATCATCTATTATTTTTTGCCTCCTTTGGTATTTGAACCTAAGACCTCAGGGTTCTCCTCCCACTTCATTGACTACTATGCCACAACCTTGGGTGCAAATTTTTTGATCTTTCTGATAAGTAAAAACACAGCTTTTTATTGGACAACCTCAACTTTAGAAACCAAACATCAAGGCAGTCAATAATTGCCTATGTTAAAACAGCTGAACTACTAACAATGCTAAGAAGATATTAGTTATTCAACAAGTCCAAGGCCATAGAGTCTTGAACTACAAGAGAAACATTGTGGCCTGTTTAATGCATACACTGAAAATGAAGGCAATGGAGATTAGAAAGTGACAACTAGGTTTCCTCATCTACAAAGCTAAAAAATAAAAATCAACCCTTTCAGAAGCACATCTAATTACTCATAACAAACTCGCCTAATTTTCAAGCAACAACACTAAAATTAACAATTGAAAAAAGCACCAATGTTTTCACTTACTGAAGAAAAGCTCAAACATTTAAGAAAAGAGATGAAATCTAAATTTACAAAACAAAAATACCCGAAGAATTGGAGTTGTCAGAGTTCTTCTTGCCCATAGCTTTAACAAGTAAAGAGTGATACCCAGAACCAGAAGATGAATAAAAGGTATGTCTTTTAGGTACTCTGATCTCAAACACCTTCCAATTTGAAACAAAGGGTTTCTCACAAATTGAATTTCTTAGTAGAAGATTGGTGTTTTTCACATGTACAGACCAAAGATCCATGATTTCACCAAGAAAATGAAAACCCCCAAAATAAATTGAATCTTTTTTCTGTTTTTTTGGTACTCTTTGAATATTTTCCACTGGAACTGAAACGGGTTCTGTGTTTATCAGGACGTTAGTAACAATGATGATGGAAACATTGATAATGGGATATGTAGAGAGGGAGAGAGAGAGAGAGAGAGAGAGAGAGGAAATGAAAGAAAATGACACAGCAAGAAAAAATTGTTT